AAGTAAAATGCAAATTTATTTTTCTTAAAGCATCTCATTATTTCTATAACTTAAAAAAATTGGTAATGTATGGTTTACTTCCAATGTAACAGACAAACTATTTTCTCTATGCTTCAACTCAAACCAGTTGTGTCATTATTTTTGCATTAGCTTGTTGATTGTTGGTAATGTTTTTTATTACTTAATTAGGATATTGTATTACCAAGTAGATGAAATGTTTTTGCTCCACGTAAAGATGGAGTTTATGTGGGTGGTTTATGGTTTGCAGAGTTCTAGGCCATTTACTGGGAAGGATTCGATGCACGGGAAAGTAAGAAGGTAAAACTATTCAGTGAATGACAAATATAGGGTGAAATATATTGGCATTAATACTATAACATGTTTATCGACAATGTACTTTTGGCACATCTCTCTACCAAATCCTGTGAATGATTCATAAGAAGCACAAGAATTCAAGAAGTTTCAGTGTGGAAGAGAAATAATAGAGTTAGCCATCATAATAATATTTCTCTTCCACACTGGGAGTCTTACCTTATGTTTTGAGAGTCCCCAGCTAAACAGGGGCTCCATACCAGAGTGGCTAGCAATCCTGTTCCAATGAGAAATGAAAATGAACTTGTTGTGGGTGTTTCTAGTGTGTGTTTATCAGACATTTCTTTTACCTGGTGAAAGGCTTAATGCCTAATTGTCAGGACCAGGGAGTTCCTCACACAGGAAACTTTATATTGGCAGATGCCCCTGCAGCTTTTGTCTGACCTATGTCTAGTTGATGTCTACCAGACCAGCACTCTGGAGGCTGGGTGCCTGATCTTGTGTTCTCGCAAGCATTCCAGGGAAAACCCAGCCTGGACCAGCCCCTGGTTCTTCAGGTGGATGGTGCAAATTCAATACATCACTAAAATAGCAAAAACATTCAAGGATTTTTATTTAGTGATCAGGCAGGGAGAGTGCAATAAGTTGGGAGGGCAGTCCTTCATCCCAGGGTCATGTGGGGCAGGAATGAAGAGTCAGGCAGAGGGAGGGTGAGAAAGTCTGTCATCTAGCAGTATACCTGAGGGAAAAGGGTATGGGTTACTTTAAGTTCACCGGAAAATGACTGAATGGTCCATTTAAAGAAAGTGACAGGAAAGCAGGAAGCCCAGTCTGCCAGGTGGGAAAGATGCCTCTAGTTTTTAATCTCTGGCCACCAGTTTGAACCATTTGAATATAGTGTAGAACTGGAAACTGTGTCAAGGGTAACTGAGCCCTGCTTCTGGTATGAGAAAGTGGAATTTGTATTCAAAATGTATGCCAAGCCAACATAATTCAGTACACCTTGGGAGAAGATATAACGCATATGCAATCAAAGTGCTACAGAAACATTAGAACATAGACATTTTGACTTAAGCCTCTAGGAAGGCTTTTAGAGGTGGTAACATCTGTGTTGGAATAGACATCTGTGAAGGACATGAAAAAATGGATAAGGAATTGTTTATCAGCTTAATAAATATTGAGTAGCCTGTTTTTAAAAATTATTTATTTATTTATTTTTGCTAAAGAGCAGGGTATGGCATAGGTAATAACAGGTTATATATTCTTGGCTCTCATGCTAAGGACATTAGATTTATATATAAGCTTAAGGAATGATGAGATGTTTCAAGTGAAAGAGTGAGGTCCAGGAGAAAGGTAGGTTTTCCTTTACAGTTAATTCAGAAAAGTTTGAAGGAAAAGGGTTGAGTTGGGAAATTGTGAGAGCCGAGGTTTGAGATGGCTGTGTACAGTCACATTCAAAAAGTATCAGAAACAGATTGGAATATTGGAATGTGGGGGGCAGGGGGAAACAGTACCGCAAAATTAGCGGTCATAATACAGAGGTGATGACTGATGCTAGGGAGATGAATGGAATGCTGAAGAAAGGGAGATAACAAGGAAGAGAAAGAGATTAATAAGGACATAAAGAGACAAGAGTTCAAGAAATATAGAAGGAAAAAAGAAAAAAAATTAGAATGCCAGAGGCTAGGACCTCTTGGAATCTACTTTTAAGGGGCAGTAGCATGAATAAAGAAAGCTAATATTAAAAATTCTGAAAGGAAAATGAAGAGGCGTTCTGTTTAAGAGTTAGCTATCATTACCAGGTCTTTGCGGCCATTTGATAAACTAGTTTTCCTGACCATGGCAACAAAAGGTATAGTTAAGCATGTTAAAAGTCTGAGTAGTAAAAAAGATTTGGACGGAAACGTAGACACTCCTACACAAAATTTCTTTTCTTAAAAAAAGAAAAATTAAGGAAAAAACAAAGAGAATAGAAGAGTTTAGGAGAGTTTTTTTTCCTTATTTCTTTGATAAGTGAATCTGAACAGTTGTCAGTAGATGAAAAGATTAAATGAAAAGTGAAATGAAACAGGAAGAGACTAAAAATGCAAGCCAAAGACAGCTTAACCCAGTGGCACAGTGGTTCTCAACTGGGAGTCATTTTTCACCTCCTCAGCTGGACATTTTGTAATGTTTGGAGACATTTTTGGTTGTCATAACTGGGGGGAAAGTGTAACTGGCATCTGATGGGTGATGGCAGAGATGCTCCTGAATACCCTACAATAGTCACATGACAGTCTGTTTCAACACAGTAATTCAACCCCAAATGTCAATAATGCCAAAGTTAGGAAACTCTAGCTCAACCGACTGACCAATGGCTCATAGTAGGTGAAAAGATTAGAATCATGAACATATATTGAGGGAATTCCCAGTTGTAGCACAGTGTCAATGGCATCGATTTTGTATTCAGATCTGAAACAGTATGTCGTAGTGTGGCAATAGCTGGCCTTGGAGTCAAATACCAGGGTTCAAATTCTAGTTTAATGACTCTCCAGCTATGGAACTTCAGGGAAACTGCTTATCATCTTTGTATCTCTGACTTCTTATTGTAAGACAGAATTAGTAAGCGCATTTACCATGTAGCATTATGGGAAGATTCAATTACTATATATTAAGAGCGCAGAACAGTGCCTGACACTTTGGTGCATAGTAAATACTAAATATTATTTATATTATCTGATTTCAAATCCTCACTGAGATATTCTGACCCTTACTGGCTGTCTGACCCCAGATTACTAAACATGTATAATCTTTGTTTTTCTCTTCTGCAGTTTAATAACCCCTTTTCCAAAGGTCTATTGTAAAGATCACTTGATAAAACATGTATACACAGTAGATGTTATCTAGCAGTGTCGGAACAAACGCAAACTCTTTTTGTCCTTCATTTGTAAATTTTAAAATTATGATTCGTCATTCACTATATTTAAATCTGCCTCAATTTTTAGCTTAATACATTACATTCATACAATAAACTTTTTCATTAGGTAGAGTTGATCATTTTATGTAATAAATACATGAACTTGAGCAAGGACACGTTTATTTCACAAATGGAGGAACAAAATGAGTCACACATGGGATAAAGTGATTACATTATGTTTCAGAATCCTCTTAATTATTGCCTTTTTGTATATTTTAGACACTGATTTGTTGCTACTAAAGCTTTAAACAATTATAATGAGTCTTTTTTTTGTCATAGTTCCAGAGTTTAAAATAACGTATATCCAAAATGTGGCCCAGTGGAATGCTTCTCTGAACATTCTTCCAATAAAGGACACAATATGATTGTTTACTGTGGGGCTTCCCTGTGTGGACTGCAACTGCATTCATCTAAATGAGTGGCTAGGTCTGTAGCCTAGAGACAAAGTAAAGACTCTGGCTTCTTGTCTGAAATAAATTAGCAGAAAAAGATGCTCATGTTCTCACATGGGACCAGAATTAGATCATCACTCTCTCAGGTCTCTTACTATGACTGTTGTCAACAGTTAATTGTCAGAACTAATATGGTTTCCTAAAACAGCACTTCTTTAAAGCTTTTCCAGTTCAACTGGACTAGATTTATATAGTAGGGTTTTACAGGGTGAAAAACATAAGATGCAAATTTTTAGATATTTTCAAGAGCATGAGAGGTTTATAATCATTTTTACTTCTCTAACCAATTTTTTTTTTTAAAAAAACACTTCATTTTCTGGCATTAATTATAAAGATGTTTTAAGAAGATCATGGAAAACTCTAGCAGGGAGAACGTAAGTGGGCTGAAATCAAATTCTGATAGGCAAAGAAAAGGAAAAATTTAGGTTCTGCTCTTGGATAATCAACAGAAAATGGGATTTAGATAATTCAGGTCAGTCATAATATGTGTTTTAAGAAATTATTGGATGACTAATGGATAAACTCAGTTGGAACTATAGGCCAGTATAATATACATTCAATAGGATCTGTTTAGTAGGAATTGCCTAAATTGGAAACGACTCCTGCAGCAGCACAAAGGTAAATTTCTATTAATATGGGGTGTTTAATGTATTAAGATTCTATGTTGCAATGCAATTACTTTGATAGTAGAATGTCATGACTTATCCTGCTTAAACTCTAAAGTTTTCTATAAAGTAGGTATTTTTACACCTCCCATTTTTTTAAGGTGTGGAATTAAAGTCCAGACAAAATAATTAGCCAAAAGTTAATCTGTGTGACTTTACATCATGTAATAATAATCAAGTTATGAATATCTCTTCAAAAGTTAAGAAGAATGCCATATAATTGATGATGTAAGATGACCACAAGACAAGTAGATGCAAACACTTTTTGTCAACCTATAAGGCCTGTGGAGCTGGACTCTAGGTCACTCCTCTAGTCTTGTTGTCATGAGTCAGCTTCTGGGTAAGCTCATTTCCTACTATATAATAGACAAGGACTATCCAAAAACTCAAGGGGTTCTAATTATATTGATTAAATTATTAAGCATTATTTAGACATTTACATAAGTTCTTTCCTATTATCCACCTATCCAGAGATACTGCTATGGCCTCTTCAAAATTTTTGCATTCAGCAAATACACATTATATCTGAGATCTCAGAATCCCTCACCTTAAAAGTATTCTTAATTCAAATTCTGATTCCTTTCTATTTATCCTCCTTTAGAGTTGTTTCAGAACAAGTCTGCAGCCTGGAACCATGGATAAGGCCAATTCTTCAGTGGTGCCTGAGTTTGTACTGTTGGGACTCTGTAGTTCTCAAAAACTCCAGCTTTTCTATTTTTTTTTCTTCTCTATGTTGTATATGGTCATTGTGCTGGGAAATCTTCTCATTATCCTCACAGTGACTTTTGATACCAGCTTGCACTCCCCTATGTACTTTCTCTTGGGAAACCTTTCCTTTATTGACATTTGTCAGGCTTCTTTTGCTACCCCTAAGATGATTGCAGATTTTCTGAGTGAACACAAGACCATATCTTTCAGTGGCTGCATAGCCCAAATTTTCTTCATTCACCTTTTTACTGGAGGGGAGATGGTGCTACTTGTTTCGATGGCCTATGACAGATATGTAGCAATATGCAAACCCTTATACTATGTGATCATCATGAGCCGAAGGACATGCACTGCCTTGGTAACGATATCCTGGGCTGTGGGCTTGGTGCACACATTAAGCCAGTTATCATTTACTGCGAACTTGCCTTTTTGTGGACCTAATGTAGTAGACAGCTTTTTTTGTGATCTTCCTCGGGTGACCAAACTTGCCTGCTTGGACTCTAACATCATTGAAATACTAATTGTGGTCAATAGTGGAGTTCTTTCTCTAAGCACTTTCTCTCTCTTGGTCAGCTCCTACATCATTATTCTTGTCACGGTTTTGCTCAAGTCTTCAGCTGCAACGGCAAAGGCATTTTCTACGCTGGCTTCCCATATTGCAGTAGTAATATTATTCTTTGGACCTTGCATCTTCATCTATGTATGGCCCTTTACCATCTATCCTGTGGATAAATTACTTGGCATATTTTACACTGTTTTCACCCCCATATTAAACCCCATTATTTATACACTAAGGAATAGGGACATGAAGGCTGCCATAAGGAAAATTGTGAACTATTACCTGAGGCCAAGGATAATTTCTGAAATGTCACTAGTAGTGAGAACTTCCCTTCATTAAGACAAAATTCCTTCAAATTCCTCAGGTCAATACTCTGTTTAATATTTTAAGCCTTTTTTGTGGTGTACCTCAATTGTGGGGAAAGTTGTGAAGAAGATACTATAGAGAATATTCAATGAATATTAACAAGTCTTTTTCTAGGTATCAAGTGAAAGTTAAATATCAAAAACATGGAAAAACCACTGTTTAGATTACTAGTTCCAGAAATAAAATATGGGTACTAGATGGATAATATGTATGCATTTACTGCTTTTGTTACAGGTAAATGTAAATATGATGAAAAAAAGCAACGAGAACCTAATTCTTTGGTGGACATACATTCAAACATTTGTCAGGTTTTATGAGTTTTCTTAATGACATGCCTAAAACGTCTATATGGATGAATAGCGTTTAAGAATCTGAAACTGAATTTTGCCAGCTTCAGGGAATAGCCAATCTGTGATTTAATACAAGTGCTTAAGTTTAAGTGGAGATTATTAGGTTGTGAGACGCCTCTCCCCACATCAATTATACCTATCCCATATGGTTTTCAAATAGCTAGCAATGCTTTAAAATATGGAATGAAATATACGCAGAAGCTTCCATTTTAAACCTTTCATTTAAAGGGCTTTCTCTGATTGGCTAGATAATTCCAATTTCCTTTTAGATTATGATTGTAGAAAAGAGAGGAGAATCTAGAAAGCTGAACTATTTTCACACCAAGATTTTCATTTGTGCCACTTCTCTTGTTCCTATAGTGCAGCTGCCAGTGGCTTATGTTCAGGCACCCAGTGGTGCTCATCCTCCAGCAAGTTTTAAGCAAGTTTTATTGCCAGCCTTGGCCTTACATTCTCTGAGCCCCATTTTCATTTCACCCTCTGTGAACTAGCTCTGGTCCAGCGCAACCCAGAGAACCTCTCTCCATCCAGCGGGCCTCACTCATATTCTCTCCAAAGCGTTCTGAAACTCATCCTTGGGCAGGGCATCACCCTTCCACATTTATTTCTTCCTTGGTTTCTCTCCTTTAGGCCTAGGTTTTTTTTTTTTTTCAAAGTAAACTAAAGACTCTTCAGATTCAGATTTAGATTTAATCAGTTTTTACATGTACTCTTTTTTATTTTATTTTTTTACCATTGCTCTATAGTATTATGAAATATCACATAAATAGATTCATGTAGCCACGACTACCACAATAAGGACATAGCCCTCTTCCATCACTTCCAAGAAACTTTCCTGTGCTGTCTCCCCTGTGATCTTAACCCCTGGCAACCAGTGATCTGGTCCCCATCACTCTATTTTATTTTTTCATTTCAAGAGTGTTGTAAAATGTATCAGCTATTCAGATGGCCTTTTGTAATAATTTTTTAAAAATTAAATGTGATTGTATTTGTGAAACATTTTTGATATCTTTTTTTGTGTGTCTGTGTCTGATTTAAAAAATCCTTCTCTCTGTCAAGATCATAAAGACATTATTTAGATTTTCTTCTGTAAATTAAAACGTATTTTGCTTTTTATACTTAAGAATTTCATCCCTTTGTAATTCATTTTGTAAATGTTGGGAGATTGGAATCTATTTTTATATATTTGTAAATATGTAGAAATCAGACTGGGTATCATTTATTTAATAGTTCATCATTTCCCTCCATTTGCAATACTACCTCTCTTATATTTTCAGCTTCAGTGTATGTATGGATTTGTTACTAGACTCTGTTCTGTTTCGTTAACGTATGTGCTTAGCCCTGCACCCATGTTATACTGTTTTAATTTACTATAGCTTTAAAATAAATCTTGATGTCTGATAGATTAAGTTCTCTCATTTTTCACAGTGTCTTTGTTAGTTTTATCCCCTTCATGTTCTGTAAACATTTTACAATCAGCTTGTCAGATTTCTTAAAATATTATTTCGGGATTTTGTTGTAATTGCATTGGATTCACGTGTTAATTAACATACAAAGGTATTTATTATATTCATTGTATATCAACACATATATTAACTTGTAGAGAATTGACATCTTTTACAAATAAATGTTGAAAAAGAAAAAACATGTCAACAAAAAATTACAAATATTTACGTAAAAACCATAACTTGCAAAACAACAAATACTCTAAGCTTATGTACAAATTTAAAGATGTGCATTTAGAGAAAATTATAAAACTTAACAAAAGGTGGTAATGAAGCGTGTATTAGTAAATAAAACTTAAGTGAAGATAGACACTATATTAATAAATAGAAAAACAGTATTGTAAAAGATGTCAATTCTCCCTTAGGGTATTTTTTTAGAGTTATTTTTTATTCTCCTTGTAGCAGCTAATTCCTTTTACCAGTTGCTGGTTCTTTATATTAAATATTCTTTGTTCAAATTACTCATGTCGGTTCTGTCTCCTGACTAGACTTGGCCAGACACAGATATTTTAAAGTATTTTGAAGATATCAAAAAATCAGAAGCATTCAAAAACATCTGGTCAAATATGATAATGAGAGAAATCAGGAACTAGTTGAATAAAAAATGTCAGTAGCTTCATCTATTTATGCACTAAAGTGAAATTCATCTATGACATGCTTCAAAATATAAAAAAAATGATGGGGTTGGGCATGGTGGCTCACGCCTGTAATCCCAGGACTTTGGGAGGCCGAGGTGGGCGGATAACCTGAGGTCGGGAGATTGAGACCAGCCTGACTAACATAGACAAACTCCGTCTCTACTACAAATACAAAATTAGCTGGGCGTGGTGGCGCATGCCGATAGTCCCAGCTACTGGGGAGGCTGAGGCAGGAGAATCGCTTGAACCTGGGAGGCAGACTTTGCAGTGAGCTGAGATCGTACCATTGCACTCCATCCTGGGCAACAAGAGCAAAACTCCGTATAAAAAAAAAAAAAAAAAAAGATAGCATTTATAAAGTGAATGCTATCATTTGGTAAACTCACTGTTTAAAATTTATTTCTCGTCTTTTTAATAATCGCCATCCTGACTGGTGTGACATGGTATCTCATTGTGGTTTTGATTTGCATTAGATGCTGGTGAAACTGTGGAGAAATAGGAATGCTTTTATGCTGTTGGCGGGAGTGTAAATTAGTTCAACCATCCTGGAGGACAGTGTGGCTATTCCTCAGGGATCTAGAACCAGAAATGCCATTTGACCCAGCAAACCCATTCCTGGTTACATACCCAAAGGAATGTAAATCATTCTATTCTAAAGACACATGTACATGTATGTTTATTGCAGCATATTTCCACAAAATTTTCAAATTACTCTAGTTCCAATAAAAACAGAGACATTCCTAATGCTAATAGCAATGAATTTCTAATTTAATTAATTCCTAGTTAAGGGAAACTATTAAAGGCACATAGCATTACATTTCAGTTAGGATTGTGATATTATGTGCTGTAGAATCCCACCTTAAATTTTGTTTAAAATATAAAAAATAAAGCAACTATTAATATAACTTGGTAATCAACTATTTAATACACACATTTCAAAGTAACAGAATAGTATTAAAAATTCTTTGTTTTTTCTTTCTGGTTTACAGATCCTATAGACTTTCCCTGCACTGCTGTACAAATTGACAGAGAAATACCTTTAACTGTATAAAATGGCAGAAGTGAACATTTCAGTAAATGTGGAAATAACGTTAGTCAATTGAAAAAGTGTAAAGTATCTTGAGTTGGCTGTCAAAAACTGGGATTTGAACATTGATTATATGACTATTTTGTGACCTTGAACAGATTACTTAGCTTTTGATCAAGTCACCAATCTCTTCAGTCTTTTAATTTTTAGGTATTTCTCTTAGAATAAAGAAAAGAAAAAAAAAACTTTTTAGTCTGCACAGGCTCCGTATTATATGGATCCCTCTTCATGATAACTCACACCATGAGTTAATTAACATATTTCTCCCTGGCTAAGCCAAACTCTACCATATTAGGGGATTTGTCTATGGTAGATGAATATATTCCTAAATTGCTTTGGATAATCTGGATATTTTAAAAAGTAAGAAGGGATGCTACCAAACCCAGGGCAGACTTTTATTTGTTTCCTGAGATCTCACAATTTGAGCTGCTTCTGCTATGCTTATGAACTAAGTTGACGAGCAGTCCTACTGACAAGGAACAGTCCTTCAGACAATGCCCAGCTCAGAAGTGTTCGAAGGAGCTGATGTGATACTCCAGACTTTACAGAGAGAGGGTGTCATGGTTAGTGGAGAGAGTACCTCAAAATGCCAACAGGATAAAAGATGAAGAAGCTTTAGTTCCATTGACTAAGTCTAGACAACTGGCGATAGTATAAGTCAAGTTAATCACAGGACAAGGAGGAAAGTATCAGAGGTACACTTTCCAGGAACACAGAGTAACAGAGCCCTCCAGGAAAAAACAGAGTAGGTGATTGCAAAGGCACTTCAGGGTGGTCTTTAGAGGAACATAAAGGTGGGGTGTGGGTGGAATGGATCTGTCAGCAGAGCCACGATCCAGTATTTCACCATAGGTGTTTTACATTTTAAACTAATTTATGTTTCATCATAAATACTTTTCCATGGAGAAGATCCTTGCCACATTATATGTTGTATTTGTAATATATTGAAATTCCAATAGATTTAACTTCATACTGAGTACATGAAGGATATCATAAAACTACTAACATGTTAACAACAAGTTGCAGAAAACCACTCAACTTCATCTTGTGATGGAGTTCTCACCCTTAAAAATTCACATTTGTTACTCCATAACTTTCTGAACATTTAGAGTTTGTTCAGCTTTTTAAAACTCGTTTACTCTCTGTCATAATATAGTCCTTAGGGAACTTAATGGTCATGATAATCTATAGAACATCATATTAGTCACACATTGAAGGCATGCTCTGATTAGACCTGCGGGTAGGAAGTGACATACAAGAAGGTTAGCAATACCCTTAGATATTTTCAGAATTCTGCCAAATCATTTAGGTTTTGAGTTCAATACACTAGGGAAGGCTAGAGTATCTTCCCATTACGTAAAATACACGTTATTTTGCTTTATATTCTTTACCACTAAGAAAGAGGCACAGTTCTTGCAAGATCATTGAATGTTATATGCAGCATAAACACTGCTTCATAAATACTACTTTATATCAATTTTAGGTTGATTCATAGCATTTCCAGTTTTCAGTGAGTCCCTGTACTAATTCTGGTCTTCAGTGCAAACTGCCCTGCCATTCAGGCTATGTCAACCAGGAATCTAATGAAATGGAGATATCCATGATAAATAAGGAGATTGTGTAGATTATTTACAAAAGTCAATTAGATAAACAGCAATTACTAACTTTTAGGATTCCAGAAAAAAATCTCTGCAGAAGACAACTGCTTATTGTTTAAAACATAGATCTTAGTATGCTATTGGGTCTTATTAGGGACTAAGTACCTGACCATTGATTTCCAAGTGACTGCCTATGTGAGCACTGCTCATCATGAACTGTTATCAGATTTATTAAGTCATAATTTCTAGCTGCCACAGCAGCAAGCCATCACACATTGGAAATGGCATGTGTAGGACCATGCTGAAGGTATAAAGGCACTAGTAATTGGTATGAACAGGTAGTCTAAATCCTTTATCAAGTATTTCTCTGGCATTAATATATTTTCTTAAGCTCAATGTTATGGCCTCATGGGAGAGTTTCTATGGATGACTTCATTCTATGTCTTGGTGCAAGCCAAAAAATGGACTGCTGCTGCATTACAATTCACTCAGATGACCTTCACAGACACTTATGAGGAAGAATTCTCTCATTGGCCAGAGCCATAAACATCACACTTAGTTATCAGCTTTAGATGGATAATTGGTCATAAGTAAAAATAAACATGAATTCGTGGGCTTTGAAAAAATGGCTTTGCTAGCTTGTTAGGGGTCTTGAAGATCAAAATTGAAAATTGGAGGAAAGTAGTCTGGGAGGGAAGAATGAGGATGAACCTATGTGAGTGAGCTCTAAGTGTGTAGATTTTTGTACTTCACAGCAATGCCCATCAGGGACCAAAAACATGGACTCTCTTTTATCAAGGTTAGTCTCATACCACTACTACAGCTCCTGAATGCTTGGTCTGTTGGCAGAAGGGAGTCATGCTGCAGCCTTGTTATGGTGCCATTCCTCAGAGAGACCACATGCATTTGGTGTCAAATCAACTGTGTCACACCCCTTCCTCTGAAGGGCGGGTAGTGACTTGTCTTTATTGGAATTCATTCCTACTCCTGATATGAATTTTCCTTCCTTACCTGTATTCCTTCTCCCCAGACACAATTCCAGGGCACACAGAGTGTTCGATATATGGATATAGGATTCCACAAAGATTGTCTCTGGAATTAGAGACAAAAGTATTTACAGTGAAGAAGGTGGAATTTATTGAACTTACAGTGAAGAGGTGTGACAGTAGAGACATATCATGAGATCTGTTTTTCTGAGAAGCTTCCAGGCATAAACAACATTGGAATGGCATATATAAGCCTCAGATAAGAGACTGTTGTTGAGATTACACTCAAATTTGCTGAGATGGTGAACTCCAAAATGTAAAACATTCATTGAAACGACAGTGAATTTGTAATTTTGCATTACCAGTAGCTAAAATACTCACATATAGATAACAAAGAAGAGGCAAGGAATAGATTGGACTTTCTCCCCAACATTCCCATTGATTCACTTACGGATTTTGTGCTTCCTGCCCCAGCAATTCTAGGATTTACTATGATCTTGCTTGCTTATTACTTATTTATTTATTTATTACTAGTGGTTTATTGAACATCTTGGTTCTATGGCTAGAAGTATACTTACTTCTAATTGTTATGGAAAGCTGTTAGCCAGAATCTCTTTAGCTATTGCTCTAGCTTTGTGCTCTCTTCTTCTGTGACTTCAATTATGCTTGTCTTTTTCCTGTGTGTATCTAATGCGTGTCTTTTCTTTGTCATCTTTGCCAATTTAACTGACAACGAAAAGCTTGTTTTTTTCAAAATTCCCATTTGTTTATTTTAAATTCCTATTTGTTTATTTCTCTAAATAAGAAATAGGGTTTTTATTTTTAATTGGGCATTTTTTGTCTCTTAATTGAAAATGTGACTTGTTTTCTGCTTTAAATATATTCACTAAGTATAAAATGTATGTTTCTAATGAAACTTTCATTGACAATGATTTAACATACTTTTCCCCCAAATTACTTCAAATTATGTTGACATTTTTTTCAATCTATAAGGTAAAGAGGTCTTATTATTGTCATAGAGTTGTAAAGTATGTCTGTTCTTTTGAACTCCCTGTGTATGTGCTCATTTTTCTACTTAGTTGTTGATATTTCTTTATTTTCATTTCTAATAGTATTTTGATTTACAAGGAATTAGTCTCGGTCATACGTGTTGCACATATTTTATAGTTTGCGATTTTTATTAATGTTCATTGTGGGGTTTTTGATATATCAAATCTAAAAATGATTAAGTCAGTCAATTCTATCCATTACATATCCATATATTTATGGCTTCTTTAATGTCATGATTTAGAGGCCTTACCAACTCCAAGATTATTAAAAAATCTTCACGTGCTTTTTTTCTAATGTTTCAAACTTAATCTTTGATCCAATTAAAATTTATTTTGCTTTTATAACTATATCTATGCAGATAGAAATTTACCTTTTCCTATGAATTTCATTTATATAGTAATCTATATTTCTTTAAATTATTATAAATAACTTATTATTAAAATTATAATTTATATATATTTGGTTAATTTCTGGATACTATTCTGTTCCATTTATTCTTTATATATAAATATATATAATTTAATATATACATTTTATACATATTGCACATTGTGTGTGTGTGTGTGTGTATGGGGGGAGAGAGAGAGACAGAGAGCATGGACCAAAATATTTCACCTTGGAGCTTTTGTTATTTTTTTTAGTAAAGTTATTTCTGGTTATTTTTCTCTTGCAAATATTTCCTGTCTACTCTTACACAATTTATCTCCTAGTAACCTTTGTAGATTATTTTAATAATGATTATTTTATGCAATCAAAAGAAACTATTTCTAATCATCCTGAGCAAAACACAATTATTAGGAGGATTTGGCATTATCTGCATGTTTGGTAGTACATTTAGGAAGCAGCTTCAGAAAATGAGCATTAGAAGCCAGACAGCATGAAAAACAGTCAAGATTATGCTTGTCTGGTAAAAACAGATGCTTTGTTGACACTGAGTCTTCCCTGAATCATTGCTGCTGAAATCCACCATTATTTTACTATTGTGGTAGTCTCTTAACTGTCTGTTTGTCATTGTATTTCTCGCTTAAGATGTTAAATTAGACTTTATGCATTTTAGAATTTTTCTTTGTAGTCTGGATATTTTTAAAATTTAATTCATAAGTGTGTCCATTTTTTTGGTTTATAAAAATTTGAACATAATTTTACAATCTTTAATTTTTTTCCCTCAACATTATGTTTTTAACCTTATATATATATGTACAAAATATTATTTAACAATTTAAATCATTGAATGTATTTCATCACACTAAAATATTATAATTCTCCACTCTTTCTATATATATAAGTACTTAGGTTTTTTCCAGTATCTCTCTCCTTCAGTCAGTGCTGCAATATGTGTCATTTTGCACAGATGCTTATATATGTGAACGTTTTACTAAGGGGTATACACACAGAGGATACATAGGAAGATAGAGAGAAACACTAAGTAATAGGGACTCTCACCTTTAATTTCTATACTTAAAGATCACCACTTGAAACTTACATCAGAACCTGTGGATATCTTTAAAACTTATTCTATAAAATATAGTTGAAAAAGACTGTTGATGTATTTTGGGAAACAAATAAATTTATATAGGGAATAAATGAGAGCCTCTTTAAATATTTGAAGAAACATAATATTGAAGTGCTAATAGATTTACTCTTTAAATTACAGATGGTAGAAACAGTGGAGCATAGATTGAACTGTCTTATGAAGCAGTGGGCTCCTTGTGATTGGAGGAAACACTCTGAGGCAAGGTGATCATTTTTAAGATTGTGTGATTGTTTTATTAACAGAAAGTTAGGAGTTGAATACTTAAATACTTCCTTTGCTGACTGATACTCAGTTAAAATCAAGTAATCTTTTGCTTCGTATGTATCCACTAGCTGGCAAAACAAACAAACAATTTTTTTTTTCTTTTCCATTTCTGGAAAATTATTTTGTGAAAAATAATTACTCCCACTGGAAAGTGACCTAAGAGGTCTAAAGGGTGATTTCTTGCTTCACCAATGAAATCAATTTTCTAGAATGAGGTTAAAAGGCTTTATATTGTATTGCCTAAAGATATTGTCATTGCTCGGTTGAGTGCAAGACGATCAGAGCCCTCACCACCTCAGGACAGGACTTGAGAGGCTCGCTTCCATATGGCATAGTGTAAGGAACCAAGTTAAAATGCGTCCAGTTAACACTATATTATAAATATTTTCAGTATGAAGACTCATAGGAGAAAGTGGGAAACAGAAACAAACTAGAGGACACCAAACTGGAGAAAATAAGGAAGAAGTCAAAGACTTGGACAACTTTTCCAAAGTGTAAGTATTATACATTCATTGTGAACATATTGCTGCACTAGAGAAATAATGAACAAGATCTCTTATGGATGCAAAATCAGCAACTAGAAGATAGCAAAGTGGAAGTTATTGTTGTCTCAAATTGAAAACTCCCTCTGGAAGAACATTCCTGTTCTCCACTTCTCTGTCTATATCATTCTTCCACTGTACTGCTTTTGGGCAACCCTGGTAAGAAGAGGATCAAAATCTCATAGTCAGAGGAACATATGTTACAACCATTATCTTTCCCTTCCCTGACCCGTTTATGCTTTCTGTTCAGGGACTCTGTAGCCATTAGTTTAACAAATATTTATTGGCTATCAAAATTTGCCTCAAATGAAGAAAGGTGTAGCTATACACAGTAGAGTAATGGTCAGTAGGATATCCTTTATTGTTTGCTTCTAGGCTTATAGGTAATCAAGTATTATACATGAAAATAAAGACAAGAAAAATATCATGCTTATGATTTCAGAGTTCTATTGACACGTTGTATAGATAGATATTAATCTAACAGCAACCCTTTCATACCCAACTTGGTTTTACATGAAGAAGAGGGAAATCTTCTTATGGTGTATTTTGGGATCTGAAAACATTCCTGTCTCTGAGGTATAGTGGCAATGACAAAATGATTGATTCAATAATGAAGAAGCTTCTGGGTGCTCTGCAGACTGCCCAAGGAATTCAGACTTTTATAAACTCCATGTGTTTCCATAACCGCCTCTGCACTTAGAATTTTAGAAATGAAACTAGCTTTAGAGATAATCCAGTTCTATGTTTTAGGTTCAGTCACACAGCTAGAAAGTAGCAAATGTTACTTGTCTATACTATTGGGTAACTACCTTAATTATTAAGAAGAAAAAGAGATATAATGTTGAATCTGATCTGTTCTACTTGCATTAAAAAAATCGTAGGAAGTTAGTTTGGGGAGGAATTTCTAGTTGTTTCTTACATTTTGAAAAATAAGACTAAAAACCTTATCATTTGTTAGATATTGAAAAGATATAATTTGTGGGAAATTTGGATATTTTCAAAAGATATATTTTTCAAAGATAAGATGATTTTTGAAAAAGGAATAATACCACTAACATTATTTAACAATTTTTTGTTAATCATGTTTTCTTCTCTTTCTTCTTCCTTCTCCTTTTCCTTCTTTTTTTTTCCTCCTCCCCCTCTTCCTTCTCTTGTTCCTTCTCTTCTCCCTCTTTCTCCCCCTTTGTCCTCTTGAGCACCCTCTTTCGTCTCTTTCAATCCCCACTCCCGTGTAAATGCCTGTTATGCTCCACTCTGAAATGTAACAAGTGACATCGCCATTTCACATGTTAGAAAAGGAGTTGATGGGTGCTGACGAGTTGATGGGTGCAGCACACCAACATGGCACAAGTATACATATGTAACAAACCTGCACGTTACGCTCATGTACCCTAGAACTTAAAGTATAATAACAAAAAAAAAAAAAGAAAAAAGAAAAGGAGTTGAGAAAAGTCAAGGAACTGTTCATTCCATTAGAAATTTTAGGAGCTGAGATTGAATCCAAGCCTGTCCCACTTTAGAGCCCCACCACTCTGTTCTATCACTCATAAGATTTAGCTTTGTTTGTGCAGAAGCATCTCCCAGTCTACTATAGGAGTCATTACTACAAGTATACAACTTACTAGTAGTATAAACTTGGGCAATTTACTTAGCCTAAGCTTCTCTGTGCCTTAGTTCCCTCAATTTTAAAATGCATATTTGAACAGTAGCTACTCTGTAGGGTTATTTTGAGCATTAAAGGAGTACAAATGCATGCCACATGCTTAGGAGACTGCTTAGAACATAGAAAGTGCTATAAATGTTATTATTATTATTTTTTATATAAAGCACATTTTCTAGTATTTGCTGTGATAGATGTATGTACAAAATACTGTGCGGTTCATTTAAGTGGTAAATCTTATCACAAATGACATTTCAATTATGGAGTATTTTTTTACTGTAATTATAATGGTTCATTATTATTATTGTATAATGAGCTGTTATATATTCCATACCCATAGTAGTAGAATCTAAATTTATTTGCATGCTCTGTGTCAAGGAAAACTTTTGCTTAATAACCTATGAAAATAAATAATGTTTTATTCTATTAAATAATCATATTTAATAGGCTTTCCACAATGAATAGAATGCTATAAGCAGTCCCTCATGGTGTCAAATTTTATCTTTTTAAATTCATAACTATAGCTCTTTAGGAATTTTTTTACTCTTAGGAATGGGAATATCTTTCTTTTTCAATGTTTCTTTGCTACCTTGTTTCCCCTGCTCATGTATACACATGTTTAGACATGCCAGCATTGCCCCAAATCTTCCACATGGAAATGAGATCCCATATGGAAACTTGTAGTTAGGTCAGTTCATGACTCATTGATCCATTTACATTCTTGAGTAACTTAGGTTTCTGCATTCTTCTTAAAATTACATATTTTAACCATATGTAAACATGGAAGCCCCTGAAAGTGTAGGATATAGTTCTTCAACATCCAGGTTAAAATGACATAATGAAAGCTTAGACACAGTTTAAATACTTTTTAAATTGGTTTATGGTTACCTATACAATTTTAACTTTTAAAATATATAATATTTATTATTTTGGTCATATCTAATTAACCTGGTTCTAACAAACCACTGAAGAATATGGAGGAGTGCAGAGCTTCAATTAGTATAAGGACAAATAAGTATCTGCTGTTTAATGTTGGATACACAGAGCTAAGTTAAAAAATGTTTACTGAACCACTTCAGGAAGGTTGTGTAGGGTTTTCTCTGGGACCAAGTGGCCACATGTGTTAAGAAAATGTCAAAAAATGTTTAATGGCTCATGTCTGTAATTCCAGCACTTTGGGAGGCCGAGGCGGAAGGATCACCTGAGGTCGGGAGTTCGAGACCAGCCTGATCAACATGGAGAAAACCTGTCTCTACTGAAAATACAAAATTAGCCGGGCGTGGTGGCAGTCGCCTGTAATACCAGCTACTCAGGAGGCTGAGGCAGGAGAATTGCTTAAACCCAGGAGGTGGAGGTTGTGGTGAGCCAAGATGGCGCCACTGCACTCCAGCCTGGGCAACAAGAGCCAAACTGTCTCAAACAAACAAACACATTTAAGAGGCAATTTATGTGCTAGTTAGCTTTTCTTTTCTGAGAACTTCTTATGCATTTGAAATGAACCATATGAGATATTTCCTAAAGGACCATTCCTGAAATGTGTTACAGATTTTGACAAATTCAAGTTTGTCAGGCATGTGTAGAAAGAGATAAAAGACAGAAGAAAGAGACTGAAAACACATTCTTAGTTACTGTTTCATTTATCGTTGATTGGTCTTTATGTGACAGAAGGTGAACTTTGATTAACTGTTTGTTAAAAGGTTGAAAGGGAATGTTTTTGACCTTCAGAGAAACTTTCAGAGGGTCACCATTGGCTTTTCCTTCTCTATTATGGCAAATTGCTTCTATTGTTTCCCTTCCTTCCTTCCTTCCTTCCTTCCTTCCTTCCTTCCTTCCTTCCTTCCTTCCTTCCTTCCTTCCATTTTTCTTTCTTTCTTTCTTTCTTTTTTTTTCAGAGTTTCTCTCTTGTTGCCCAGGCTGGAGTGCAGAGGCGCAACCTCTGCCTCCCAGGTTCAAGAAATTCTCCTGCCTTAGCCTCCCAACTAGCTGGGATTACAGGCACCCACTACCACACCCAGCTTTTTTTTTTTTTTTTTTGTATTTTTGGTAGAGACGGGATTTCACCTTGTTGGCCAGGGTGGTCTCAAACTCCTGACCTCAGGTGATCCACCCGACTCAGCCTTCCAAAATGCTGGGAGGATAGGCGTGAGCCACCGTGCCTAACTGCTTTTATTGTTTCTTAAAATAGTTTCAAGAACATTATGATTCTCAGTTCCACTTAGTCTTGTGTTTAAGGCTAATTGCATTAACGATTTGCTCCCGACCTACCATTGGTAATTTAATAATTATTGTTTCTTAGCACGCCCTCTCCTCCAGTCAGGCCGCTCAACTCACAGGTTCCTGAATAAAGTACATCTTTATATTTTTACCTTTGTATCTTTATTCCTGTTATTCCTTTTGCCTGAAATAACAGACTTTTCCTTCATTTTTGGCTAGCAAATTTCAAGCTTTTAAGAAGTTTTAGCACAAAAATAAAAGTTATTCGAGCTAAAACTTATTTTACCACTTTGGCATAATCTCTTTAATCTTATTAATACTTACGCTATTAAAGTATTGTCACTTATACTTTCCTGTTTCTGGTTTTATATTTTAGTTTTTTTTAGTATGTGTATTTTTTTTCTAATTATGACAGGGACAGGGATTCATATCTAATCCTCTTTTTCATACTCTTTCAACTTTCATAGGAGTCATGGGTGTTAAATACTAGTCAATTGAGTATATATATAAATATAAATAACTTAATTAAATTGACTATATTTCTTTTGTTTATAAACTAGAGGTATTGTAATGCCAATCGTTGTGATATTTTACTGATTTCTTTTTTTAGGTAACCGCATATTGGATACATGGCTCACACAAATGAATCGGTGGTGTCTGAGTTTGTACTGTTGGGACTCTCTAATTCCCGGGAACTTCAAATTTTCTTTTTTGCCATCTTTTCTGTAGTCTATGTGACATCAGTGCTAGGCAATGTCTTAATTATTATCATTATTTCTTTTGACTCCCGTTTGAACTCTCCTATGTACTTCTTGCTCAGTAACCTTTCTTTCATTGATATCTGTCAGTCTAACTTTGCCACCCCCAAGATGCTTGTAGACTTTTTTGTTGAGCACAAGACTATCTCCTTTGAGGGTTGCATGGCCCAGATATTCCTCCTTCACAGTTTTGTTGGGAGTGAGATGATGTTGCTCGTAGCTATGGCATATGACAGATTTATAGCCATATGTAAGCCCCTGCACTACGGTACAATTATGAACCAGAGGCTATGTATAATTTTTGTGTCTATTTCCTGGGCGGTGGGTATTCTTCATTCTGTGAGCCACTTGGCTTTTACAGTGGACCTGCCATTCTGTGGTCCCAATGAGGTGGATAGCTTCTTTTGTGACCTTCCCTTGGTGATAGAGCTAGCTTGCATGGATACATATGAAATGGAAATTATGACCCTAACAAATAGTGGACTGATATCATTGAGCTGTTTTCTGGCTTTAATTATTTCCTACACGATCATTTTGATCAGTGTCCGACGCAGGTCCTCCAGTGGGTCATCCAAGGCTCTTTCTACATTAACTGCCCACATCACAGTGGTGATTCTTTTCTTTGGGCCTTGCATTTATTTCTATATATGGCCTTTTAGCAGACTTTCTGTAGACAAATTTCTTTCTGTCTTCTACACTGTTTGTACTCCCTTGTTGAACCCCATTATCTACTCTCTGAGGAATGAAGATGTTAAATCAGCCATGTGGAAGCTGAGAAACCGTCATGTGAACTCCTGGAAAAACTAAGATTGCTATGAAGAAGCATAATCCTGAATTAGAATGAAGATCCTCCAATGTATCACAGTGTCATGCCAACCATCTTTGCCAGCGATATGGGTTGTTGAGTTACAGAATTGGCTTTTTGTTTTAAATCAAGGGAATTGCATCAAGTCAGTCTCTGATTCTATTTATATATAATGTTAACTATTTTTTTCATTGTTTATAATTCTAAAGTATAAATTGTCTTGAAAATATTTAGTAATACTTAAAATATTTTATAAAGAATTTAGAGATTCCAATGTGCATAAAATGTTATTGATGTTACTAAGCTTGTGATTCTCTTCAACTGAATACATGATACATTTAGACCTGACAATCAAAATGTACAGGCATACTGAATTTCTGATATCTTTACCCAATTTATTTATAACATTACAACACACACTGACATAGTAGAAAAAGTATTACATTTTACAATATGGATTTCACCTTGTTGTTATACATTTTTAGCTTTTCTTTATCTTATGTATTAAGTATTTTAGCAATTTATCATTTGGTTATATTTGTGTATTTATAGTTTTCCCTATTTACTATTTTGTTCCTATATTTTTTTCTGTTTTCCTTTAGATTATTTGACACAAATTTTTGCTTTCTACAAAATTTTCTAGGTATTTGGTGCCATCAACAACATATATATATATAAAAATAAATATACATGTGTATATATGTGTGTGTGTATATATATACACATATATGTGTGTGTGTGTGTATATATATACATTTTTCACAAGCCTACTTATTTTTAAAGTAGAATAAATTGGCTATAATGAATTCCACATTATTCACAGAAAATTTTAAATATCTTTGAAACTGTTTGCAAATATGGCAGATGTTGAATATTTAAGTTCAAAGAAAAAGTTAAGTATCTAAAAAATATAAATGTACAGAATGATACAAATCATTTGCTACTGAAGACCCAAACTGAAATCTATTATTTCATATTTGTTTGAAAACAGAAGAGAGAAAAGTAAAATGTATGTACCTCTAATACTAGTGATTAAAAGCGTCTGTTAAGTATAGTTTCATTTCCCAGCTAAAAGTTTTCTTATGTACTTCTCCCTGAGATTTGCATTATCAAAAGTTCTTGGAATAGAAAGACTAATTGTATTCTATAATAACAATGAAAAAAAGAACTACTTTATGGAAAATATAAAGCCTGTGATTGTCACCACTCTAGATTTGTATTTTAATTATAAGAGTTATGTTAGTGGCTATGTGTACAGATATTAACTCTGCATGCTAAGTCCTAGTGGAAGCAAAATATTAGATATAGATACACAGTCCTGTTAAATCATCATACTGTTTATGTTTAGCTGGTTTTTTTTTTTTTTTTTGAGCTTCAGATTATTTTTGGTCAACTTCATTTGTACACTCTCAAACATAATGACCTGTAAACTTGACTACCTGTTATATTTTTCATATGGTGCCAAAAACATTTTGGACACACAATAAACATGAAACTAGTGATGATATTTTTGGTAGTATTATTTTCTCCTCACCACTAGTGAAAGTGAAAAGGTGTTGACTACATACTTCAAAAATGAGGTCATTTCACTGCTCTCATTCTCAGTATTCTCATATGTAAAATAAAGTTGTTAAAAATAGCTATTTTGCAGCAACTATGTGACACAAGAGGATATAATGGAAATAAAGTCACCTTGTGAAGCATAAAACATACAAATAGCTTTAGTGCTATTACTTTTGAAAAGGTAATTCTGCAGGCACCTGGATGGGTATGAATTCTGTGCAGGTAGCCTTTTGCTCCTTCTGTCTGTCAAGTAAACAAAACTGATGATGTATGGGAGCACTCTCTCTGTTTTCCCTTATTAAAATGTACAACTCTAAATTTAGAATTTTGCAGTGATCATTTATTAGCACCAACTTAGAAACCAAATTAAATATATTCAATAAGAAATAAATTTACACTGTGTATAAAATATATTATCAGAATTATACAAATGTGAATTAACCCTTTCCATCAAAATCTTAGTATCAAATATGGCAGAAATTAAATACAAATAATTAAAATACAATCTAGGTTTTGAAGAATGTCATAGTGGAGAAATGTACTACAGAAATGAGAAAGAAAACTGATTTCTTACTCCTGAAGTAAAAAAGACATGGAAAGAATAGATTTGGATTTCAATGTTTGGATGTTGTATTAGTTTACTATGGCAACCATAACAAATTTCTACAAAATGGGTGGCTAAAGAAAAAGAAATTTATTATGTCACAATTCTGGAGACTACATATTACAATTAAAATATGTTTCCTTTAAGATTAAGAATGAGACAGAAAATATTATTATCACGATTTCTATTCAATGTGCTGAAGATTCCAGACAGTTTGAGACAAAATAGCAATAAAATATACACTTAGAAAAAATATATTTTTAGAAAAACTTTTTCTCTGTATATATGCATCTATATATGCATTTCTGTATATATGTAGAAAATATTTTAAGCTATTAAAATTAGTGCATTTAGCAATGTTGTTTGATAATGGTTAATTTTTCCCAAATTGATCCATATATTTAATGTAATCTCAGTCAAATTTCTAATAATACATTTGAGCAAATTGACATGCTGATTCTAAAATTTATATGGAAATACAGAGGCAAGAATATCCAAAGAAATTTAGATCTTTAGAACTATAAGATTTGTTATGAAAGACCCAGAGTAACAACAAAGAAAAAAAGTTACAGCATATACGCAAATGAAAAAGAGAATGGAATAAACCATGAAACCACAAGAGTAAACACAAGAGAGGAAGAAAGAAACAAAGACCTATAAAATAACTAGAAAACAATCAACAAAATGGCAATAGTAAATCCGTGCCTATCAATAATAACCATCAATATAAATGTATTAAATTCTGTAATTAAAAGACGACAAAATGTATTTTAAAAACATACAACTATATATTGCTTACAGGAGACTCGCTTCACCTGTAAGGACACATATTGACTAAAAATAAAGAAAAGAAAATTATATGCCATGCAAATGGAAATCAAAAGAGAGCAAGAGTAGCTATACTTAGATCAGATAAAATAGACTTTAATTCAAAAACTGTAAAAAGAGACAAAGATGGTCATGATATAATAATGATGAAGGGGTTGATTCAGTAAGAGGATATAACAGCTACAAATATATATAAATCTCAAACCAAAATACCCAGACGTATAAAGCAAATATTATTAAATGTAAAGAGAGAGATAGACCCCAATGCAATAATAATAGAGGACTTCAACATCTCACTTTTGGCAAAGGACAAATCATCCAGACAAAAATTCAGCAAAAAACAACAAATATAAAGCGCACTCTAGATCATGTGGACATAACAGATATTCACAGAACATCCCACTCAACAGCTGAAGAGTATGCATTCTTCTCATCAGCACATGGGAGTGTCTTCAGGGTAGATCAGATATTAGGCCACAAAACAAATCTCAGCAAATCTATAAAAACCAAAATCAAGTATCTCTTTTGACCACAATGGAATAAAACTAGAAATCACTAACAGGAAAACCTTTAGAAACCATTTAAATACATGTAAATTTAACGACATACTCCTGTATAACAAATGGATTGATGAATTAGTTAAAAAGAAAATTCGAACACTTCATGAGACAAATGAAATTGGAAACACAATATATGAAAACCTATGGAATACAGCAAAAGCAGTTCCAAGTGGAAGGTTTATAGCAATAAACACCTGTACCATAAGAGACAAAAAAACTCAAATAAACAGTCTAACATCATACCTCAAGGAACTAGAACAAAAAGAACAAACACAAAAGTAGTAGAAAAAAGAAATAGATGAGAGCAGATATAAGTGGAATAGTTACTAAAACAATACAGAAATCCATAGTGAGTCTTTTGAACAGAAACAAACCTTTAGTTAGATTAATTTAGAAAAATAGAGGGAAGGTTCAAATAAAATCAGAGATAAAAAAGTATACATTACAACTGATGTAACAGCAATACAAAGGATTCTAAGAGACTACTATGAACAACTACATGCCAACATATACATATACAACCTGCCAAAATTGAATTATGAAAAAGTAGAAACTCTGAAGAAACCGATAGTGAGCAACAAGATAGAATTTATAATAAAAAGTCTCTCATCAAAGAAAAGTTCCAGATCTGATGGCTTCACTGCTGAAAATCTACCAAACATTTTAAAGGACGTTATCAATACTTTTCAAACTATTTCAAAATAATTGAAGATGAGAGAATTCATCCAAACTCATTCTACAATGCGGGCATAACTCTGATACAAAAACCAGTCAAAGACACAACAAAAAAATGAAACTACAGGACAATATCTCTGATAAAAATAGATGCAAAAATCCTTAAGAAAATACTAGCAAACCAAATTCAACAGCACATTAAAAAGATCATTCACCATGATCAAATGAGATTCATTCTAGATAATACAACCTACATAATGCAATAAATGTGATACATCACATTAACCAGGATCAAGGATAAAAACTAATTTATCACTTTGATAAACAGAAAAAGTATTTGACAATATTCAACAATGCTCTTTGATAAAAACTCTCAACAAAATGTACCTCAACACAATAAAGGCCAAAAATGACAAACCACAGCTAACCAGGGAAAAGTTGAAAGCTTTTCCTCTAAGATCTGAAACAAGACACAGAGGTCAATTTTCATCAATTTTATTCAACATAGTACTGAAGTCCTAGCCAGAGAAATTAGGCAAGAGAAATAAATAAAAGGGATCTAAATTGGAAAGAAGGAAGTCAAATTGTTTCTATTTGCAGATGACATGATTTTATACATAGATTTTATATAACAGTTCAACCCAAAAGCTCTAAGAAGTGATAAACAAATTCAGTAAAGTTGCAGGATACAGTATCAACCTAAAAAAATCAGTAGCATTTCTTTTACTTAAAACTTTTATTTTAAGTTCAGAGGTACATGTGCAGGTTTGTTACATAGGTAAACTTGTATCATGGGAGTTGGTTGCACAAATTATTTCATCACCCAAGTGCTTATTGGTTCTATTGGCTGCAGGGTGACTATAGTTAATATTGCATACTTCAAAATAATTAGAGGAGAGGATTTTAAAAGT